GGTGGGCACGGTGTTTACGTGGATTTTTTGTGGGGGGCCGATGGATGGGCGATTGAAAACCGGAGGGGCTTCTCGCCAATGGCCGAGTTGAGCTCTGTTTTCTGCCTTCCTTCCCTTGTGCTGGAGGGGGAGGGGGCGGGTCAGAGGGTAGGGTGTCTGTAGGGTTCCCAGGCCACCCGCCACCCCCTCCCTTTGTCCCTGTAATTTATAAAGCGCCTTTGAGAGATGATTTAGGTCAGTATGCGGCTTCTCTTTTTGTTGGTACTAGAAAGAAGTATGGCCCGGAGGTCTAACCCTTTTTCCTTTTCTCTCCTTCATTCCCTTCCTCCATGCCTCCTGGTCTGCACCCTCGTGGTGAGCCTTGGCCCCATGAGGCTAGAACCGAACCAGGCTCGTTCGATAAATGGTGGCTTGATCATACACGTAGTGGACCTCACCTTGTCTTAGCTCCAAATGGGTTCATTTTTTGCAGAATCCAGGTTTTGCGGGGGGTCTGTAAGAAAGTCTGCACATGGGCAGCACTTTGGGAAATGGGGTGGGTGTGGGAATAATTGCAATTTTTATTTTTTCCTTGTTCCTAATTTCTCCCCGGGTTCTGAAGTGCTTTCCAGTACCAGAGATACTTGCCGGGGATGTGTGATACAGTCTCAGTCAAAAAAGCTCCTCGTTTCTTTTAGTGACTAGGGTCTGCCAGCAGGGGGGAAGCGGAGTACAGTACCTGCTTACTCTACAGTATTTCTGTGCTGGGTTTTCAGTTCCAAGAATATTCCACAGTTTTATTGGCATTAAATGTCTTGCTATTTGACCTAAACATGCTTGGACATATATTAAGCATATTTCCCCCTACACAGTTCTGTTACTACATCATAAACCTAACCTGAAACAAACAGCTTATTGACATACTTCTTGGATCAGATTGAGATTTATGGGTGGTAGTTTTGATAATGGGAAATTGTGAAACCACCAAATAACCTTTTTTTTTTTTTTTTTAATCTTAGAATGCTAGTTGGACCACGTCTGCAGGACAGACTGACTGAATTTTTATGTAGTTTGCTGTTTTTAAGTATTTAAAGTATAAAAATTTGCCTTCACCACCTTCCAAGTTATTTCAGAACTTTATCCCCATTGTGGAGGGGTTATTATTCCAAGAATATATGTTCGTTAGAATTTGTACTACACAATAATTTTTCATTACATGAATAAATGTATATAATACAACTTATGAGTATTCAGAAGCAGTTTTGTATAAGATTGCAGTGCTGAATACTTGGTTAGTCTGTGTTTTAATTGCTGGATCTTCTGGGAGGGGTAGGCGGTTGGTGCATACAAAGTCCTAAACACTACACATGAAGTTTGATTTATTTTTTTCTTATCATAATTTTATCAGACTTCTATTTCAGTGTTGAAATTTGTTGATATTCTTTCCCTAAGCAGGAGCTACCGGATGGGATAGCTAAGTGATTGTGAATAGCCAGGCCCACCAAAATACTTTCTGTCCAAGAAGATCTTGAGAATTCTTCATATGGCCAGAGCTGCAGATCCATCTGGTTTTGATTCCAACTTCTGTCTCAAGAACATCTAAGAACTTAACCAGGAACAAATTCCTCACCTTTTTTAATGGGAGAGAAATAGAAATACTGGCACAGCCTCCTGTCATTTACAAGGTGTCTGGTTTAGGCAAATAGCTTAATCTCTCAAAACTAGTTTCCTTTTCTGTAAAATAAGGACAATAACAATACTAACTTCAGGGTTGTTTTAAAGAACTAAATGTGATAATGCATTTAAAATAGCACAGTGTCTGGCAAAGAGTAGATTTCTATAACATTATTCAGACATGTAATTTTTTCCCCAACAGTGAAATGGTATAAGACCACATGCCTACTGCTCCTTTGTTTACATGTGAACAGAATAGTTGAAAGTTTTCTAAAGTGGCATGTAATTGATTTATACGTACATAATTTTAGGTTTTTAAGGAAATAAACCATGGTCATCCTAGCAGTGGATAAAACAGGGATACTTCAGTAAGGCAGGCCTGTGGTGGACGTGGTGGTATTGAGCTTCCCGAGTGAGTGCCTTGGGCTGTGACAAATTTAGGTCAACTCATCCTCTACTTTTAATACCTGGGTTCCTGCTTCCCATGATTCCATGGGCCTGCCAACTTAGGATGCAGTTTATGCTTAGTGGCCTTTGTGAGAACTGAACTTTCAACCTTTACTACTTTCACTACATAAATCCAGTCTTGGATTTGGAGCTGTTGGAAATTGACGAACTCCAAAGAAACCTCAAGTCAGAAGTGCTCTTTACTGGAGCCAGACGGGCTTCATCATGTTCTGCCTCTTCATTTTTCTAGAAAGAAGCTGATAATATTTCATTCTTCCAGAATATTTGGGATCTATTAATGCAAGAGGCAGTGGCCTGTCACATCAGATTTAATTTAATCCAACCGTAGCAACCTGCTGATTATACTTTGGGAAAGAACTCTCGATGCTTGAAATGTTCATCTGAGAAGGGAGGAGCCGTAGGTGCTATTTCAGCAGGGTCTCTTTTCCTGCATGAGTATAAAAGAAGAAAAATGCCGGGCTCCTGTGGTTCTGTACTCAATAATCTTGCTGCTGAGATACGTGGTTGATGCCAAGTTTAAGCTGACAGAGAATTTTTAGTCACTTCATACCCCAAAATGGAAGTTTTAATATAACCCACGGCCCAGACTCAGGGCAGTACCAATGACTTCACTATAACCGGTCCCAGGCGCCTCTGGTCATCCTAGGAACAAAGTGCCCTCCACCGGGGCACCCAGCAGGGCAACTCAGCCTGAGAGCAGGAAAGGGGTTTTTTGTTTTTCTATAAATTGCCACCTTGTGTAATACTTGGAAAGGTAGATTCCGAGATTAATGTGGGGCTGTGTAAAGCTAACTTGAAAACAGAAAATAATACTCTAAGCTGAGATGTGAATCAATAACAACACCTGGAGACTGGGGGTGGGGGGAGGCCTGTGGTTTCTCAAATCTGAGGCAGTAGTTTTCCTTTAACTCCTCTCCACTGCCATCCTCAAGATGCACCACCCACACCCTAACCCCCTTTGCAGGGACTTGGAACCATTTGGCAAATGGCTTCAGATACACAGGTTTATTTTCTGGCTGGTTTTCTAACTTAACCTGATTTATAGATATCCTGTGTGTATGACCACTCACATCCGCTCTCCCAAGCTAACCAACTCCCAGTCCCTTTTAACCATCTTCTTTCTCATAATAATGAGGATAGGTGGAAATCAGTCGCCTGCACTCGGCAGATCAAGCCCCTCAGAGAAACTACTCCAAAGAGTGCAAGGTAGAGGGGTGGACTTCAGTTCTTATCAGATTCTGTTTTATTTTGTTTCTTAAAGAGGGGGGCTTCTCTGAATTCTTGGAGGTTCTAAGTACGTGGTTAGTGCGTATTTTCATGCTTGTTAGCAGTTAAAAATAGTGTTTCAGGGGCTGTATTTACCATTGCTGAAGAGCTTTCTTTTCTGCTAATCATTTTTCATGGGACCAAGAAGGGAAGATAACTGGGAAAGTAGTAAATGTAGGAAACCACTAAT